CCCCTTGGCATGATGACCTTACAGTTGGTATGACTCATTCTGGTCACTAGAATTGGACACCAAATATGAGAAGAAACCGAGATGTTTGAGGAATCCTATGCCCTATATACACTCATCAAACAACAGACCAAAAACCTTGCTGAACAAGCTGATCACTATGAAGCACGATATGATCCCAGTTTGAGTTCATTGTCTAGTTTCTTTTCCATTTGCTTCCCCACTCAAGGGCAATTTCCTTCAACCCGAGAATCTCAGTACCGAAACCCTGGACTTCTATATCCCTATTTACCCCCTTTCAGTTCCTTAACAGCAACCAAGAAACAGTGCGCTGCAGGCACCTGAAGAAACTACTATATCATCACCGTTTCTAACTAATGTTCTTTCTTTTCCATGTGATGCTCCATTCTTGGGGTACGCAACCAAGAAACAGTGCGGTGCCGAAAACGTAAACCCTAAACCCTAAACCCGAAACCGTAAACCCTGAACCTTAAACCGAGCCTTAAGTTTCCAGCGAAGCTGAACAGGCACGACAGGCGTTTGCCGGGACTTTGCCTAGGACCAGGGCAGCTTTCGGCGAGGTAGGGTTAAGCCCCCTAAGTCGTTTCAATATGGGGTATATGGGGACCTTATTATAATATACCCAAAGCCGTATTCTAACTACTTTAGGGGGACTATAACCCCTAAACCCCAAACCCTAAACCCTAAACCCTAAATCCTAAATCCTAAACCCTACACCCTAAACCCTAAACTATCGGGTAAGGGTTTAGGGCCTAGGCTTTAGTGAAAAGAGTTTCATGCTCATGGCTCGGGGCCGCAGCTCCGAGTTTACCCATCATTGCCTGGCATCATTGCTAGGTTTTAGGGGTTTAGGGTTTAGGTTTTAGGGTTTAGGGGCTAGGGTTTAGGGTTGAGGGGTTAGGGTTTAGGTTTTAGGGTTTAGGGTTTAGGTTTTGAGAGGTTAGGTTTAGGGTTTAGCTCGTAGGAATGGCCATCAAAAAACCGTCAAGGTTATTTAATAGCACGCTCCCTGTTCTTGCTTCTTGCTGCGATTACGACGGGCATTACTAGCCGTTCTTATGGAAGGTATCCGAACTTGAAAATCATCAGCGCCCTACCCTCTCGGACCAATACATGTCTCGCGTATATATGTATATACATATACAGTATATACATATATATAGAGATATCTCTGTACATGTATATATATATATATGTATACGTATACATATATGTATACGGATATATCTACATTTATGTTTGTCCTATGCTCTCTTGCAGGAAACATGGAATGCTAGGGGCTGGGGCTCGGATGATAAGGGGAGGGGATTGAGGGTACTGCCATCGCATGGGAAGACTCTTCACATGCAAGTCTGAGATGGCAGCGAGAAGCCAAGTCTCATCGCCCCACCTTCTCAAGGACTACACCAACAAGCAACAATCTTAGCCAAGCTCGGGGCTAATAATGCTGACTAGCGGCTTTACATATACCAACCGAGAATTGGTTATTGCAAGGGCACGAACCAAAGTTTCTGAGTTTGATACTGGTCTATGATATTTCCCTGAATGGGGTGACCCCAAAGTAGACTGCAAAATACTATAATCCTTATTATAGGGACCCTAAAAAGGTGCCCCTAATTTTGGGAAACCCACATCTGCTCATGAAGACGTGTGGCAAACAGCTCTCCAGCCTGCACCCTTCGTCCTCTACCTGTAACCAGGGCATGAGTCTTCCTCTGCTTTGGGTTCAGGGTTTAGGGTTTAAGTTTTCGAGTTGGGTTTAGGGTTTAGGGTTTAGGGTTTAGGGTTTAGGGTGTAGGGTCTGGGTTTTAGGGTTTAGGGTTTAAGGTTTAGGGCGGGATGTCCATGCGCTATGGGAATCCCCTGGACGTTTAGGGGTGAGGGTTGAAAGCACGTAGGGCTTGCGGTTTAGGGTTTAGAGTTTAGGGGGTTTAGGGCGCGCATACAATTTAGGGTTTAGGGGTTTAGGGTGCGCTTAAAGTTCCGCATTGGTGGGGTTTAGGGTTTAAGTGGTCGGTCATGCAAGGGCCCACCTTTGCGCAACACCCTAGCACGGGCCATCTGGATTGGAAAAAAGAACGTGACAGTTTGCCTGCATGTATCTTACTGAACAAGGCTGATCTTCCTATCCTTACAAGATCCTTTTATGGTTTAGGGGTGATTCAACGGGAGTAGATACCTTGTAAGCCCAACATTGCCTAATCTGGAAAAATCAAGTGGCACAGTTCTTGGCATCGCAATGCAAGCAAACATCGTCGAGGCTTTTTTTTTCAATCGTGGGTTGGGGGTCCCAATACTACGGGCTATCTTTAGAGGGGGGATGTGATGAAACCGAAACCCTAAACCCTAATCCCACTAAAATTGCCCGCATACAGTTTTCAAAGTTGGGCCTATAGAGCCCAATAAGGACCGCATAATTTTAGGGTTTAGGGTACATGTTTTTGTTCCTCCCTATGTATCTCCCTACCACTAAAACCCCAAAGCCTTAGTCTCAGACGCTAATTTTCTCAATCCTGAGAAGGGCCGTAAGTGCCATATAAAATGTACTCCAATCTATCCCTATACATCCCCATATCTGCCTACATCTCTGTGATACTTGCCGGCCTTGGCTTGTGCAAGAGAGCCTTCCTCCGGCCTGTTCTCCTCATGGCTTGCACTTGCGGGACCTTTGGCCGCTACCTCGAGACTTGGGGGTTTCCCAAAATTAGGGGTACCATTTTGGGAGTCCCTAGAACAAGGAGTATAGTATTTGGGGGGTCTATATTGAAGTCCCCCTATTTGGGAAACTACCGCTTGGAGCTTGACTTTGTCGTGCTAGGGAGTGGAACCCTTTCAAAAGCCCCTTTAGTAGGCCCTATACTCACTCCTTAAGGGAAAGTGGGAAAGCGCATCCCTTTCATACCCCTGCTCCCTCTTAAAAACCAGTAAGTTGAGGTGGGGGTTTGGGGTTTACGTTTTGGAGGTGTTGGGTCGAGGATTCATACGGGGGAGTGGCGGAGTCTTAGTTAGGAGAAGGGTGTGCAGTTCAGGGTTCAGGTTTTTTTCGTGGCGCCGTAGATACAACTGCCTTGGTGTGCTGCTACCGTGACTTTTAGTAGTAATGATTGGATTGCTTTAGTAATAACCGGAAAAGCAGTAGCGGCATTCAAGAAGCAGCAGCAGCAGCAGCAGCAGCAGCGAGCAACGAAAGTAACAGTTGTACTTCTCAAGATGACGGAACTGATACTGGGGATTACGACTGCAGCACGACCACCAGCAATGAGAAGGAACATCTTGATTACGAAATCAGGCCTGTTCATGACAAGCTTGCTTGCAGTAATAAGGAGAGGGTGCTTAGAGGCCTCTCTACCTCCCATAGATTGAAGAACACTCCGGAACAAGCCAAAAAAATACTGTGTTGGGCTCTGACGTCTTGGGGGATACCCCCACATATGAGCTATAGCTTAAACTCCCAGTATCCCCCCAATATAACCCCTATAAGCCTACAATAGTCCCCTATAATCCCTTGTATCATCTTGTATCATCCCCTTTAAGGAATTTTTCTTATGGCTCACATTGTCCCTCAGCGCCAAATCCAGGGAGACGACTTTGACGGCTTCAAATGCTGCAGTCTCCGCTTCGTGAAGAAGGCGGGCCTTTGTAATGACTTCAGCAAGTCTGAGCAGCAATCGTAATAGTAGTGATAATAGTGATAGTAGTAGTAGTAGTAGCAGCAGCAGCAGCAGTAGTAGTAGTAGCAGCAGCAGCAGTAGTAGTAGCAGCACAGCCACCACCACCACCAGCAGTAGCAGCAGTTGTAGTAAATGTTGTAATTGTAGTGGAAGTTGTAGCAGGACACAGAAGAAGAAGATTGTGGTGCAGTGCATCATCTTCGTCATCATCATCGTCATCCCTGCCATCATCATCATCATCATCACCACATGGCTTGGGAGTACGGATCTACGTTTGGGGCTAAGCCCTAGAGGCCCCAGAGTTCTTTACCTGTCTGCGGGTGTAGGCAAAGACTTTGCCTTGGGTATTTGCTGATTGAAACAAAGCCGCCAAGAGACTCCAGATCAAAACGGCCAGGAGTGAGAGCTATACAAACAGGAGTCTTTACCATTATGCTCACGGTGCACGCACCAAACTCCCAACAGCAGCACCTGTAATGAAATCGGAGCCATCGGAAACCACGCTCATCACAAGCTTGAGTGACGCTTCAAGAAGAACGAAGGCAAGAGAGAGACTCTGCCATGTCTACGGCAAAATTAAAGTCTTCTCTTGATTGCACGGACAATCGCAGGCAGGAACGAGGAGCGACATCAGAGCAAGTCCCAACAATGCTGACACCGCCTCCAAGCCCTAAACTTCAAGTCCATGTCAATCATATGCTCGTAAACCCTAGGCACATGCAAACATGAAATCTGAAATGAGGCCATTTTAAAGCTCAGGAATCTGCGAAGAGCTCCCCTCAAGATTTCACTTGAACACGGAAGCCCCCAAGCACTGCAATTTCAGAGCCTCAGGGCCCCAACCCCCAACCCTCCCTAAAACCTTCATGCATTGCTCTCAAACTGATATCTCCTTCACTCTACATTATGCATACAACGCTCCTAGGCTGCACCAAACTTTAGGATTCCGCTAGCTCCCTGTGTACAAATATCGTCCGAATCAAAAGAACCCGAAAGGGGTCAGGCAGTTGAAACACTCGCTGGACATGAACCCATGTGGGAAGTCTCAATTAAAAAACTCGATCAGGACATATACGGGGATTGCAAAGAGATTACTGGAATTCTGGTGGTCCCTACTACGGGTTCTACACTTGCAGGTTCAGGGAAATAAACCAACAATAACCGCATCTACAACCCAATTCTGGCAACACTAGAAGACATGGCGGGCTTAACATTGAGTTTGAAGTACAATTCTCACTAGGATGTAGCCACCCTCAGCCTCCAAACAAGGTTTGAATTTTGGAATCTCCCAAGTCGAGCTAAGTCTGTGACCAGGCAGGCAGCACGATCTGTCCTCGTTTGCAGGATGTGCTTGGAGGTTCATGGAAAGTTTAATCCCGTCACGAGGGCTTGCATACTTTTACGTAAGGCTTGTCGTTATATGGAGATAAGGAGTGGGGTAGGGGTTGGCAGATGTTGGATGTGCTTCTGGAAATTCTGTAGGGTTAGAGGGCAGGCTTCAGGGTTCAAGTGGTTTCAATTCAGGAGTTCGCTTTTTCTTGTGGCCACACATTCATGAGGTCTTTGTAATTGCAGTGAAGCAAAACACGCGTCGAAATGCAGTCAAATTATGACGGCCCCGCTATTGCACCCCAAGGAGACACCTCCTAGAATCTATGTCCTCACGAGGTCACTTCTCCCTAATAAGCCCCCCCCCACCCCCACCCGCTTGTAATAACCTTCCCAGGATATCATGTCAGAATGTATTGGGGGATTTTAAACATAGTAGGAGGTGCCACATGGAGTATGCCAAAGTGTACACGGCGAAGGCTGGTCTTCTATCTAACCTGAAGACTGCGTCCCAAACTTTGACAGACCTTCGGAAGGAAAAAACAGCAGCAAGACTTCTGATTCCTGCACACATGCTTGCAAGGCGTCCATACCCACCCTAGACCTTAAACCCTATGCCCTAAATATTCCTATGTATCCCCATATGACCCTATATTCCCAAAGAGCCACCAAGCCCGAAGAGCCACCACCAGCTTCAGCAACTGTTGGCTAACTCGTGAAACACGTGACCACCAACAGGGTTTGGCGAGGGCTCAACAGACCGTAGCTCGTTCACCTCCAAGGGGTCTTAGAATCGCCCGGATTCTTGCATCAACGTCTGGCGCGATGCCCAAAGCTTCTCACTGCAGGATCTAATCTATGGCTCTGGGTTTCCACAACCCTTCAAAGCTACCCTCACCCCTCATCCGCAAGACCTTAGACCCTACACTCTCAGCCCTTCGCCCCACATCTTAGACCTGAAACTCGGACCCCTATCCTCCTTCAAACTGATATGAAAAACCATATAGCCCGGTTTCAACATGACAGCGATCTTTATGGGACCTTGTTGGGCGGAGGTTAGCCCCTGAACAACGCCGCGGCCTCATCAAGGAGGAAATCGTGCGCGGCCTGTCAAACTGAGCTGAATACAAGGAGTAGAAAGGGAGGAGAAGCGAGGGAAGTTTACTGTTTGCGGATGAGGGTGTAGGGTTTCGCTTCTTGTCGTGTTGCGAAGGCATTGTTGGAAGTCTGACCTTGAACCCCAAGCCTGGAATCATGTCCCATAAACCCTAAACCCTAAACCCAGAAATCGCATCCACCATCGGCCTGTCCACTTGAGGAGTGGGGGCGCCCAGCTCAACCAAGCGCAACTGACCCGCCAGGCACATGTCCCACCACCTGCTTGGCTTCAGGGATGGGCCATGTAGGGGTTATAGGGATATATTAAGGTTTATTGGGATAATGGAAAAGGAAATGGAAAAAAGTATCTGGTTTAGGGTTTAGGGTGTTGGGGGTGGCCTTTGGTTAGCTGGGAATGAAGGAATGCAAAAAAAAATGGAAACTATCATAATGCGTTATTTAGGGACTACTCTAAGGTTCCATTCATTCACTCCTAGCGAACCAAAGGTAAGTTAAGCGATTCTAAGATTCTTGGCTAATTACGGCTTACCTTCAAAAAGTAGGCACTGTAATGGTCCAAAACCCCTGGAGCAGTGTTAGACGGATGTTGAGGGGTCATGGATTGTGGAGGACTTGAGCATGATTTCTCATCTTCGGCATGCCACTGAAGAATCAGCACTTTTATATCTTGTCGGGTTGCGGGGCTCAAGGATCTTTACGTGCCGCTAGACTAAAAACAAGCAACCACAATCTCCGTAAGCTTGGATTTCGGGTCTGAACAGAATCCCCGAGAACATCGCCACTCAACAATCTGCATATTTAATGACTACCTCTAGAAGCAGGACTCGCTGGGGATTCCTCCGATTTAAAAATTCTCCTTTTGGTGGCATTTGGGTTCCTGTACTAACCCCCCCTCTACACTATCCCCCAAGGTTCCCCTTCATTAGCCTTCAGGGTTCGGGGTTTAGGGGACTTGGGTGGTTAAGATTTAGGCTTTTACAGTCCTGGGGTTGCGCCTCATCCCTATAGTCCCCTAAAGTAGATAGAAATGATAGAATTTGGCCTTGGGTATATTAGAATACGATCCCCATATACCCCATATTCTGTTTACTTAAGGGGGACTATACACCCTTAAAAAAAACAAACCCTAAACTCATGGCATAGGCCGCCCACCTTCGATGGTGGGCGGCGCTTATGCCCCTCGACAGCCTGCCTTCCCACAGCCAGGGGTACTGTAGCACCCACGAGAGGCCAGGTACCTGGAGAGTTCTCCTCGGAACCAGTACTTATAAGTCATTACCCTAAACCTAGAGCTCCAAGCTCTGCAGGGCGGTGGCTGGTTTTTTCTAGGGTAGATCCTAGGGGGGGTCTGGGGGTCCAGGGCCCTTCCTGCGAGCGAATTTCACGACCACCTGAGAGCCAGTCAAATCTCACCACTTCAAAAACACATAAAAACACAAAGGCGGGGTTCAGGGCCTCCAGGGCCTTGAGGGGCCTCCAAGGGCCTCCAGGGGCCTCCAGGGGCCTCCAGGGGCCTTCAGGGGCCTCCAGCGGCCTCCAAGGGCTCCAGCACCCTGCATGGAGGGACTCCTCCAGACAAAGGCCTTCAAGGGGGCTTTTAGGGGCCTTTAGGGGCCTAAGACTCCAAAGCGCTCCTGCATTCAGGACTCAGCGTACACAAATGAAAAGGTG